GTTTTTTAAAAAGCCAGTTCATTGTAAAGCAGTGGCTTTCAGTCAGGTATTACTTTATGTCATCACCGCCCCCCCACTCCAGTGCAGGAAACATTTAGCAATGTCTGGCAACATTTTTGGTTGTCACAACTAGGGCAATGCAACTGGCATCTGGTGGGTAGAGGCCAGAGATGTTGCTAAATAACCCACGATGCACAGGACGGACCCTCACAATAAAATTATCTGGCCAGAATTATCACTGATGCTGAGATTGAGAAGTCCTTTTGTAAGATTCTGGGATTGTTTATTACTAGGTAGGTTTTAGTATAATCTAACCTTTCCTGACTAATACAGCAACTACCACATTAATTTTGTAATAACTAATGTAGAAATAATTAGATGCCTTAGTTATTAGGAAGCAGGTTTAGAAGAAATCCAGAAAAAAAATACAGATATCGTACTGTGACATAAGGGTTTTTTTTTTAGTTTTTTTTATGTTATTTATTTATTTGACAGACAGAGATCACAAGCAGGCATAGAGGCAGGCAGAGAGAGAGAGAGAGGGAGAAACAGACTCCCCGCTGAGCAGAGAGCCTGATGTAGGGCTCTATCCCAGGACCCTGGGATCATGACCCGAGCTGAAGGCAGAGGCTTTAACCCGCTGAGCCACCCAGGCACCCCGTGACATAAAGTTTTGAAGGTGACTCAGGGGCACCTGCGTAGCTCAGTCGGTTGAGCATCCAACTCTTAATTTTGGCTCAAGTCATGGTCTCAGGGTCATAAGATCAATCCCCACGTTGGGCTCCATGCTGGGCATGGAGCCTATTTTTTAAGACTCCCAATCTCTCTCTCAAAAAAAAAAAAAAAAAAAGAAAAGAAAAAAGTTTTTGAAGATGACTCAAAAGATTCAGAAGCTATCAGTTTCACAACTGATACTGTGCAGTTGCAAATATTCCAGATAAATACAAATTAAACAGGTCTAAAACCAGTATGGTTGTACAATGAATTCTCCAAGGAGCTCAAGTATTAAAATAAAGGGAGTTTGTAATCAAAGATAAATATACATCTTTTATGGTCCTCTAAAAATAGCATTAAAAAAACTAAGTTCAAAATAACATAATGGAGGCCTACAGAAAGTGCTAAGATCTCCAGAGGTTTTTTGCTTGTCGTAGTTGTATTAGCAGCAAGACCAAGCAAGAAATGTGTCTCCTATTCAATTCTTATGAACTGATTTAGAAAGCGAACAACTCATTCCATCATGTCCCCAGCTGGACTACCTATTTCCTGTTCTTCCATGATAGCTGATTCTCCAGCATCTTTTTTTGAGGCAGTGAATCTTTATAACTCTGGCTTTTAATGCTTTGCTTATATTTAGAGTATCAGAAGCAATTACTGCTCACCTTTACAGCTTGGAATTGTGTCAACTTCAAAACCTTGGAAATGATAGATTTTGGATATACTTGTCCCTTCTAAATAGATCTACACAAAGATGGATGCTACATTTTGGGGGTAGTGGTTCTTAGTCTTTAAATATTTTCAACCAAAGGCCAGAGAGTTACTTGATGTCTGTTCTTTTTTAATCCTGATTACCTGTAATTCTAAATTTAAAACTCTGGATTAAACCCTTTCCCTCATACCCCTCCCCTCTTTTGCCCTCCCTTTCCCTGCACACACTCCCTTTCTCTCACTCTAAAATAAATAAATCGTGGGGCATCTGGGTGTCTCTGTCAGTTAAGCATCTGCCTTTTGTTCAAGTCATGATCTCCATGTCCTGCGCTCAAGCCGCTCATCAAGGCTCCCTGCTCGGCGGTGAGTCCGTTTGTCCATCTCCTGCTGCCCCTGTTTGTTCTGTCTCTGTCAAAAAAAAAAAAAAAAGTCTCTTTTAAAACAACAACAACAAATTCTCAGTCAGGTCTCTCTCAACTTCTAGTATATGTTAGCCATGTTTAAAAGCACGATACTAAGAAATAAAGATGCCAGTCCTTCAATGGCCATAAAAACTCCCTTGAAATGTCTCCTTTCTCTGAGAATAGGAAGGGTAACTGCAGGGTCCTGGTTGGAGTCCAACTCTATTAATTGTGTAGCCTGTGAGAATTTCCTCTGGAGGCTGTCTTGTACACCTGTTCAGAGATCTGTGTTTCATTACCTGTCCTTGTATCTGAGTCACCAAATCCACATTCTGGATTACCTGCTTGGTTGTTGTAGTTGCCTCAAGTTCACAGAATTACTAAGATGTGGTCAACAAGCAGTGGTAGTGTGACAAAATGGGCAGTTCTTGATCTTGGGGTCATGAGTTTGAGCCCCACATTGAGTGTAGAGCTTACTTTAAAAAAAAAATTTTTAGGGGCACCTGGGTGGCTCAGTGGGTTAAGCCTCTGCCTTCCACTCAGGTCATGATCCCAGGGTCCTGGGATCAAGCCCCGCATTGGGCTCTCTGCTCAGCAGGGAGCCTGCTTCCACCTCTCCCTCTGCCTGCTTCTCTGCCTACTTGTGCTCTCTCTCTCTGTCAAATAAATAAAATCTTCAAAAAAAATTTTTTTTTATTTTTTTAAAGATTTTATTTATTTATTTGACAGAGAGAGAGAGCACAAGTAGGCAGAGTGGCAGGCAGAGGGAGAGGGAGAAGCAGGCTCTCAACTGAGCAGGGAGCCCAATGCGGGGCTCGATCCCAGGACCCTGGGATCATGACCTGAGCTGAAGGCAACTGGTTAACTGACTAACTGGAGATGAAAATATGTTTTATGAATTCCTAATTTTTAATTTGTTGCATTATATCTTTCTTAGTTTTGTGCCTTTTTATATATTTTTTAAAGATTTTATTTGGGAGAGAGAGAAGAGAAAAAGAGCAGCACAAGCAGGTGGAGGAAGAAGGAGCTGGGAGTGGTGAAAGAATCCCAAGCAGACTCTGCACCCTGAGTGCAGAGCCTGGCGGGGCTCCATCTCATGAACCCAAGATTGTGACCTGGGTGGAACCATGTCAGATGCTCAACTGAGCCACCCAAGCACCCCAGTTTAGTGCCTCCTTAACAATGCTTACTACCTGCCCCACCAAAAAGAATCACCAAGTCACAGGATAATACAGTTAACAAATAAAATTCTCAGAACTAAATATTGCTAGTGATTGAAGAAATACAAATTAAAATATGAAGCTACCATTTTCCACCATTAAAAGTTTTTTGTTGTTATTACAAAAGTATAACACATCTTCACTGTACAAAATAAGAAAATCCCGGACAGAGAACTGAAGAAATCACAGTGGCAGTGTAATATCTCATCATACAGATGCCAGTCTTTTTTTTAATCCATGTCTAAGATTTACATAACAGTCGGTTCCTACTGATGTGTACTTGAATTTTTGTTACTATAAATGATGCTGCAGTAAACACCCTGTACAGTAATTTGTTTTGTTGTTTTTTTGCCATCTCTGACTACTAGGACTGTTTCCTGAAACTGCCATTGCTGGATCTAAGTATATGCATTTTTAAGGGTTTTGGTAATCTTTTCCCAAGTTGCTAACCAGAAAGTTTCTGTCAGACGTGAGAGAGTACTGGCTCATGCATCTTCTAATCCATGTTGTTTATGTTATTTTGATAACTCCAGTATGCTATCTCATCATTTCACATTTTACTACTTTGATTAATAATCAGAACTTTTTTTTTTAAGTAGGCTCCCTGCCCAGCGTGGAGCCCAAAGTGTGGCTTGAACCCAGAATCCTGAGATCAAGACTTGAGCTGACATTGAGAGTCAGACACTCAACTGACTGAGCCACCCAGGTGGCCCAATAATCAGAACATATTTTTCATGTCTTACCGAAATACTATAAAGAAAAGTCCTCATTGGGGTGCCTGGGTGGCTCAGTGGGTTAAAGCCTCTGCCTTCGGCTCAGGTCATGATCTCAGAGTCCTGGGATCAAGCCCCGTATCGGGCTCTCTGCTCATCGAGGAGTCTGCTTCCTCCTCTCTCTCTCTCTGCCTGCTTCTCTGCCTACTTGTGATCTCTGTCAGTCAAATAAATAAATAAAATCTTTAAAGAAGAAAAAAGAAAAATCCTCATTGTCAGATTATTTAAGAGAAAACAAACAAAAACACATACCAAAATGTCCAACAAAAGAAAAGCAGTTAGATAAAAACTTCTACTTCTAATAAATAAACTGCAGGGGCACGTGGGTGGCTCAGTAGTGTAAGCCTCTGCCTTCAGCTCAGGTCATGATCTCAGGGTCCTGGGATCGAGCCCCGCATCAGGCTCTCTGCTCGGCATGGAGCCTGCTTCCCTTCCTCTCCCTCTGCCTGCTTCTCTGCCTACTTTTGATCTCTCTCTCTCTCTGTGTCAAATAAATAAATAAACTCTTTTTAAAAATAAATAAATAAATAAATAAATAAACAAATTGTGTAGCTTTTAAAACATTTAGTATGGAGGAACCTGGCTGGCTCAGTCAGTGAAATGTGTGACTCTTGATCTCTGGGTTGTGAGTTCAAATCCCATGGGGTGGAGAGATAACTTAAAAAAAAAAAGTGTGCAAAATATTTCAGCTGGCATAGGGAAAAAATGTATAATACTAAGTAAAACATTAGAATGGTAAATGTTTATGTGTAATTTGATATGCTGTATTCCTTAAATGTGGAAGGAAAAAAAACGGAAAGAAAATATGCCAAAATGCAATTGGTTCTACATGGTGATGGATGACTTTATTAATATCTCATAATTTTTAATACTTGCCACATTTTTTATTATTAACATACCACATTTGTGAAGAAAACACATTTTTGTTAAGTACACTGTATACTAATGGTGTAAGAGAGGAGAGGAAACTGTCCATCTGCATTTTGTGTATTGTAGTCTAAAGATAATATTAAAAATTGGATTTCGAAATACGTGGCATAAACAGCTAACATAAATAATATTCTGGTAAGCAGTTCAACAGCCCCTTGTCAAAATGTTAAGAGTTCCACCTGCTTGAGAAGCTAACAATTGTTGGAATCCCCTGAAAATGTGAAATTGTTTACCACTTTTTTCCTTTTTAGGTTGCCGCTATTGATCTTCTCGTTCCTGGGGTTGGAGAGCTCTTTGGAGGAAGCCTCAGAGAGGAGCGGTACCATTTCTTAGAGCAGCGACTGGCCAGGTATTGATCAGACCTAAAAGAAAGAAAATTCAGAAATTGGGGATGAGGCACTCGAAGGCAGTCTTGGCAAAGTAACAGAGAAAGCAAATGGGCCTCAGCACCTGACTGACCTGGATCTCAGATTCTCTGTGGCCTTGAGCAAGTTATGTGACCTTTCTGAGCTTCCTGTTCTTAAAGATTGGAACTGTTACGTGATATAAGTCTGCAGTGGTATGTGCCCACTATTTGGTATGTATCTCTCCCTATGAAAATTGCTCTTTAAAAAGTTAATGACAGTAAACAACCTTAAAGCTTGCCCTTCATTTTCTCTCTTTTCTGTGTTCTTTTTTATTTACTCCCAAATTATGATTGGGAGCATAAACAAGGACTCCTATAGGGACATAAAGAAAAAACAGACTCTGAACCAGGGAAGGAATAAAGATGGAGAAAGAAAGATTCTAAAAATATCCACTAAACTAACATTTAGAATAAGCACTTCTCCCTTCCTCAGGTTTTCTGCTATGTAAGGGTCTTGATTAAGCTATTTGAGTAACTCATTTTAACTTGCTGTTTGAGACCTAGGAAATGAATCCATAAACACACAGAAAATGTTTTGGAGATGAGAAGTACAGAATCGTGTTTCTAATTGAACTACCACTCCTATGTATGCGTGGTCTGCCAACAAACCACAATGACTTCCTAAACTAACCAACGTTATAAACCTCTGTTTTCCATGGTTTCTACTTTTGCTATGCCAGACTTCAAAAAAAAAAAAAAGGTTTTCCTCATGTTAAACGCTTAGTCCCACTCTCCTACTCTCCAGATAATACCGGGTTTCATAGTAACCTGGAAAAGCCATACTAGATTGAAAATATCCTGTTAAATTAGCCATTTGTAAAGCCTTCTTTCCCTAATGGAGAAATGCTTAAAAAGCTGATGCTTTTCCAAGATCCCAACCTATAAATTTGTTGGATAACTTGGTTTTGTAACCCCAGTCATTTGAACTGCTCTATTTGGTTAGGGTCCAGAAAAAAGGAAGTAAATATGTTCTAAAAAAGAGGCCTCTTTTTTATTACTTAGACTACTAAGTCCTTACTATTACTATAATGTTAGAAAGTCCTGGGAAAATAATGAAATTGAAGTAAAGGTCAAACTCCTTAGATGGAAAGAATTTGAAGATTCTCTGGGTTTTTTAAAGCACAATAAAAATCACACATGGCAAGAAACCTCATCTGTTGAAAGAATAATTGGTCTCTTGCCTTTGCTTGCTTCCTTCCTTCAGCAAACTTTTCCTCATGACATTATATGTTTACCTAATACCCGATATTATCCAAATTTATCTTTTCTAATGAAATGGTTATATGTGTTTCCCTGCTTCAGGAACCTGTCTGTGACCTCTGTTCATGTTTTCTGTGTCTCTGGTTTTTTTTCATAGTCCTTATCATTTCAGATGCACTTTGATCCCAAACACTTTTTTAAAGGGCTGAAATTTATTTCTTTTAATATTTTATTTTTAAGTACTCTGTACAGCCAATATGGGGCTGAAACTTACAACCCCGAGATCGAGTTGCTCACTCTACCAACTGAGCCAGCCAGGCGTTGAAGGGATGTAATTAATTTTAATGAGTACTAAGAGCTTAAAATTTGATTAACATTTTTCACATTGGCCAAAAAAACAATTTGCAACCATATTCTGAGGGCAGAATCTATATTATTATTTCCGTGTTATAGAATGAAATGTGTGTCTCCATGTCCCCTGTATGTGCCTCCCAGCAACCTTAATAATGCTTTTCTTATGTCATAGGACAATAAGCTCATCTGAAATCTTCTGGGCTCTGGACTATCTTTTTGTGGCATTTATCATCTGTACCACTTGCTTGGTGTAATACCTAGGACTATTGGTTATTTACCTTTCTTACCGTATTAAGTAGTTACCTTCTAACTGCATTGCATGTTCTTTAAAAGCACAGGTTTTTGTGTATACTTCTTTATTAAGAGAATAAATGTTTGGTGGTTAGTATCTTTATCTTATTGCCATTCTCTGAAAAAAATTTGTTATTTTCCTTTTACAGATCAGGATTAACAGAAGCCTACCAATGGTAAGAATGTGGCCCTTGCTAATTCTTTTATTTTATTTTATTTATTTATTTGATAGAAAGAGAGATCACAAGTAGGCAGAGCAGCAGGGAGAGAGAGAGAGGGGGAAGCTCCCCACCCAGCAGAGATCCCAATGCGGGGCTCAATCCCAGGACCCTGAGATCATGACCTGAGCTGAAGGCAGAGGGTTAACCCACTGAGCCACCCAGGCACCCGGCCCTTACTAATTCTTGTTCTAGCTATTGGTCTGATTGTTACATAGGTTTTACCTGTATTCCCTAGGCACTATGGAAGAGTATTAAGAACAGTGAATAGATAGGTTCTCAGAATAGGTAGTAATAATAAGTAGTAGTCTCAGAAGATTACTTGTTCCCTTTGAATGCTGGGAAAACACTAATAATATTGGCTGCCATTTATTTATTACTGACTGTGTGCCAGATAACTATGTTAAAAATTTAATGTATTTTTTTAAGATTTATTTATTTAAGTGAGAGAGCATACAAGCGGAGGGAGGGGAGAGGGAGAGAGAATACCAGGCAGACTCCCCACTGAGCATGGAGCCCAACGTAGGACTCGATCCCAGCACCCTGAGAACATGACATAAGCCGAAGTCAAGAGCCGGACACTCAACTGATGAGCCACCAACGTGCCCCTTAATGTATATTTTCTTATGTATTATTAGAACACTCCGAGTTAGGTATTATTTTAATCTCCTTTTTATTACTCCTCCAGACATAAGTCTGAGAGATGTTAACTAACTTAACCAAGAGCACACAGTTAGAAGCATAGAGCTGGAACTTTGTTCCTAACCATTATGCTTCAGTTTCTCTATGTGTGAAATTAGGGTTTGAGCTAAGTGCTCCCTAAAGTCTGTAGAAATCTAAGCTGCATAGGGAAGATCACTTGTTTGCATTCATACATTTACATCTCCAGAGTTCTCGTTTTCTTTCTGCAGACCCTTTCTTCAGGTATTTTTCAACATGTACAAATTATATACTTTTATTTTTATAGTAGCTTTCCTTCGTAGTAATTATTATTAATTGCTTTGCTGTCCTCATGAGAGGGAAGAATCAAGTTACACACCTGACCTTTGGGTAATGAAAGAGCTAGGTTGTAGAAATGCCAAAAGCCTAAAATTATGTTCAGGTTGTGACCCTTGAATGCCTTATTATTTACCATTAGTAACCATAGGCATACTTAATCTGAGTCTTGGTTTTCTTGGCTGTAAGATGGAATGATGGTATCTACTTAACAGGATTATTGTGAGGATGAAATGAAACAATATAGGTTAAATATCTACCTAGAATGGAACTTCAGTAAAACCTAGTTTCCTTTCCCTTGCCTGCCTTTGTTCTCAGTCTTGTTATTAGGTAGATGAGCCTGACCAAGCAAGCTTATGCATTTTGCCTATTTTTGTCTGTCTACAAGATAATCTTCATAGTGTGTAAAACTAACTAAATCACAAATTCTGATTGTTGGTTGAGTAAGTTGAGGCCTTTTTGGTCTTTATTAATCATTTCAGTACTATTCTTGTCCCAACTAAAGTTTTTGAACTCTTCGGATCTCTAAATGTAAATATCTATTATTTGAATCTGTTTCCTTTTATCTGGTCATCATAGCATTTTCAAGGTAGAAGGGACTTCAGAAATCTTCAAGCCTGCAGTCTCTGCTAGCGTTCCACCATGCTGTGAATAGCCACCCCAGGTGTCGAAGAATTTAGTCACTTCCTGTTTCTGCATGCCACATGCAAATAATATATGTAACTAGTTCCACAAATTTTATACCATTTCTTCTATAATCTGGCTACCCTAAAATCAATTTAACAACAATCAAAAAAGTCCAACAAATATATATTTGTTCAAAAACTTGTTTTTTCAGAAGTGGATTTCTCTATATCAAAGCAAGGGCAAGAAAAATGCAATAGATTGAATCCATCTGCAGAATTCAGTTTCCAGACCTTTATGCCAGTGTTTTGACATCAATATATAAGGAATTCAGACACAGCTACAGCTTCTAGCAGCCAGACCAGGTCCTGTAGCTATTTGTGGCAGGTGCTTTGATGGGCCTTTCATCTCATTTTCTCAGTAAATGAAAGTATATCCTGTCCCCATACCTTATAAACTAAAACTTAATTCAGCTACAAAACATTTCATTTACTCAAGACTGTGCTCCTTCCATTATTCCTGATAGTTCTTAATAATCTGAAGTTTCATACTAGAAACTCCTGTTGGTTGATCCCTCACTTGATGGTAATTTGCCTTGTTGCAATTAATCTTTTATTTTAGAAAAATCAGTATTCAATCTTAATTGCCTAAAAGACCAATACATGTGGCTATTGCTATTAATAGTGAGGAAATAGATAATACTCTTTATTTTTTTTTAAGATTTTATTTATTTATTTGAGAGAGAGAGCAAGAGAGAGCACGAGCAGGGAATGTGGGGCAAAAGGAGAGGAAGAAGCCGTCTCCTTGATCAGCAGGGAGCCCGACTTGGGGCTTGTGGAGGGGCTTGATCCCAGGACCCCAGGACCATGACCCAAGCCAAAGGCAGATGTTTAACTGCCTGATCCACCCAGGCAGCCGAACAGTCTTTATTCTTGAAGAGTCATATGACTACCAGCTGTGGCACCTCACTTTTATTTTAGAACTGATTTTACAGATCATTCAAGAAGCTATAAACTTACTTTAATCAATATTGTATAACTAAAGAATTCCCCCACCAAATAACATAGCAAAATACTTACAGAGTCTTCCTCTTTCTCTTCCTTTTGTAAAATAAATTTATCACAGGCTGGTGTGTTGGAATCTGAGTTTGAATCATGGCTGCCCCATTTTCTAGCCATATAATCTTAAGTGGAAATAGAAATCAGTATAGATAAGCTTCAGAGGCTATCTAACCTTCCAGAAAAATGACTCTGGACTTACTCGACTAGGTTTGAAGCACAGAAATGGAAATTTCACTCTAGTGTTCAAGAGTTTATTTTTGTGCCTTCAAACAATAAATCTGCATAGACCAATGATACATGTTCTCCAGAGCAGACACTGGAAATAGAGGGCTGAAGAGCCACAGTTCCTGCCCTTGAGAGAGCTTACAATCTAATGTAGTAGGGTATATTTTTACAATTTAGCAGGCAAAACTCTTCACCCTCTTCTGTGTATTGAACAATGTGATTTTAGTAGGAAAAAAAGCATTAACATACCAAGAAATAGAAGAAGAATATATTTTCAAGAAAAATAGTAAAGTTATTAGAACATTTTCTGTTGTCTCATTAGGCAAGTTTTCTGTATTTAAGTACATTTGTAACTTTAAAAGGATCAAGTGACCAAAGCCCATGAGTGCATGACGCGATTTGCTGCTGTTTGTCTGATAACCTTGGACAGATCATTTTAATTTCTCTGTCCTTCACCTGTCCCTGGAGGGAAAAGACTGGTTTACCAAAATGATGTGGATGATAACAGATGATCGCAAAATACTTTTCAGACAAAATTCTCTCATGACATCTGATCCAGCACAGCATCTACAGGTAACAATTCTCTGTTTTTCAAAATCAGGTATCTGGACCTCCGTCGATTTGGATCTGTTCCCCATGGAGGTTTTGGGATGGGATTTGAACGCTATCTGCAGTGCATCTTGGGAATTGACAATATCAAAGATGTTATCCCTTTTCCAAGATTTACTCATTCATGTATTTTATAGCTGGAAGACTGGGTAAGGAAAATCACCCCATGCCAGAGGTACTGCATGTGAATATGGATACAGGAGACTGCATGTTTGGCTTTTAGAAATGGAGAGGTTTTGGGTGTGTAACTTTCATGCCATAAGATAGCGCATATGAAAAACAGAAGTGATTATGATTTTCTTAGAAAGTTGAGAGCATTTTATGAAAAAGATGAACTCCCTCAAGAAGAGGAGCTTGTGGCAGGCAGAATCTCCAATCTATTACACCAATGAAGAAGAAATGGGGAGGCTGCGCTGTGGTCTCAGAGGTCCTTTCAAACTCTCAAGACACGACGAGATAATGTATTTTAATTTGTCTTTAATCATTAGATCACTGCCCCGTGTGACCTTTGAGAACCACTAGTAGCTAAAAAGAAGGTATTGTTGGATCTTTTTTCATGTGCCATTTAACCTATGATAAATTCCCATTTATTTTCATCACTTTACTAGATATCACAGAAGAAAATATTCTCTTGGGGGTCCTAATTGAGTTAATAAAGTTACTATTCTGAATTGAAATCTTTTATCAGACTGGGTGAAAAAAGTGACATTTAATAACTGTTGATCTTTCATTTTAAAAGCAAGAGAGATGTATTAATTATCTAATGACTGTTATAATTTGTTCACAGTAGCTGTTTATAACTTCTCTAATAATCAATAAAGTAGATTTTTGATACCTATGAAAGAAAAATACAGTTACATTTTTAAATTCCACTTGGCCTTTTCCCAGAGAAATTTGGAAGAAAGGTATTTTCAATGCGAGATGATGCAAATATCACTAAATCTAAAGGATGAGTAATTCTGAACTCAAAAAGTAACATTGTCTGGTAGAGTTTTTGAGACGACTGCTGGTTTGGGAGTTTAAGACCTGACAATTACAGCACTTTATGTGTATGATTTTGGACAAGCCACTTATTCTGTATAAGCTCAGACGTTGTTTTCCTCAGAGTTGATGTAAGAATTACATGATAGTGTTGTGCGTGTTTAAAACTATGAAATGCTACACAAGTTGTTTTTAACTCTTTTAGTCTGTTGAGTTACATATCTATGACTTGCAGCAAAGTTGTATACTCAGTAGAGTTTGTATGTATCAAATAATGGTAAATGGCATGCATGCCTGAATAATCAATTTTCTGTGTCTCATTAGATAATTTATCTTAGTTTATTTCCTATTGAGTTTGTACGTGCACTTTATTTCATCCTAACTCAAACAACTGAAAAGAACTGCAGAACCTTAGAGCTGGAAATCACAGAAGTCCCTGAGATGTTCTCATGACCAAACTTCTGCCTGATGCAGAGAGATCCTGGGCAACCTCTTCTTGGCAAAGCCGAAGGCAGATGTTTAACTGCCTGATGTTTAGCTGCTTAGTGTCCCACCAAATAGCATATTCCATCTCTGCATCTCCCTGGTTGGTAGCTTTTGCTGAGCTAAAGTCTACTTCCCTAGAACTTTAATCTCCTGGGCTTCGATACCCAGTTTAGGACAGAACAAAAGAGGGTAATCAGGGCTTTCATAAAGCTTGCCTCGATCATGGGTTAGACAGATAAATTCATTTGTTCAACAAATATTATTTGAGCTTATTTTATATGCCAAGAACTGTGCTAGGTGCTAAGTAAATGATAGTGAACAAAACAGAAATGACCCTTGCCTTCTTGGAATTTACAGTCTCTTAGAGAAGGTGCACAATCAGTAAGCAAACAAACGTATTATTTCAAAATATGACATAAGCTGTAAAATTTAAAAAGAGCAGGGCAAGCATAGATAAGCTTGCTAGAAAAGGCATCTCTGAAAAGGTGATCTTTAACCTTAGGTCTGGGAGATAAATGCAGAAACCACTCTAAAACATTCTCAGCATCAGTCAGTATTGATTTGACATTCAGGTCTTGATACTGTATTAATTTTGTGGAGTGAGAATTACAAACACTTCACAAGCCCCCAACCTGGAGACACTAATATTTTCCAAAGCTATCAGGAATCATGTCTCCAGCGATTCTTGAGGAACCAGATTGAATTCTAATGTTAACATGATGGTTGGACCTCCTAAATAACAGTGAGATAAAGAACAGTGAGTCAGAGAAACCCCAGGTTCCCATCGAATGCCACCACTGATGTAGCTGTGGAGCACTAATCAAGCAAGATCATCTTTGTGCCCTCCAGTTACATCACCTGTAGAACTGTCCTTTCGAAGTGCATCAGCTCAAAAGATTCTGCTTTTGTCTCAATCTTTCAGGAATCTGTGTGGGAGATAGTCACTAAAAATAATTGATTTAGAGTCTAACCTTTACATTTTATTTTAGTACACGTTAGGTCTCTGAAAATGTACCATGAAATCAAATCACTGAAAGTCACAATTACAATAGACTTAAGTGTGTTCATTGTGCGTGTGTGTGTGTGGGATGGGCGAAAGTCTCAAATAAACCTTGTTCCCTGCCTTTTTGATAGTCTTCAGCAGTGTACTTCCCTACTTTCATACTTACTCGCTCTTTTCCTCTACATTTGATCACACAGAGAGTATCTGGTTGAAGCCAAATACTTGCCACTTACAACAGGCCTAAGAATGTACATCTTTGACTGAATACTTTTATTTTACCCATAATTGAACAACAGTAAATGCTGGTGTCAGACAAAGATGATGAAAATGTCAAAACTAAGTAGCAACATCAGGAAAGAAATTTTAAAATGTCCATTTGTCAGCTGGTATAGGAATATCCAAATTCTCCAGATAAACAGCATTGTATAATTATGTATATAATGATGAGAAGTGTGGATTTCATAGTTGAGGACTGCCTACACTATAAGAATATTCTTATAGGACTTAATTTGTGAGAGAAAAGTTGTTAAAGGTGTTTTGAGGGTGTTAATTTTTATTTATGTAACCAGTTTCCAATGAGGGAAAAGTCAGATTCTGTTTTCCCAAGATTTCCAAACATCACCTCAAAATAGTCACCCTAGCCACCCAATAAAGAGTATATTTTGAAACTTAGAAATGGTTTTTCCATCATTAATTTCCATTCTCATTTCAAATTTTAAAGTAGGTGGAGAGAAATAGTTACTTTCCATCTGGCTGTTCTCTTGCCTGGGGAAGTTGTGCTGTCTTCTTCTTCTTCTTTTTTTTTTTTTCCTTCTTCTTTTTTCTTTTTTGGTCTGACAAGAACTTAATTGTGTGAGTGATCCATTCCAGATCTAGACATAACTCTCCCACCCTCTGACCCAGCCCAGAGACTAACTGTCACAAAACAGCAAAGAAACTGTTTGACCTTTTGTCCTTCTCAGACAGGATCTGCCAGAAGCACCCCTCTATAATGTTGTACATTCATGCTCTCCATAAATTGAATCTAGACATTCAGGCATGTCTGAACAGACATTGAAGATGCAATTGGTGAGATGGATTAACTCTACTCTTCTTTAAATCTCTTGTTTCAGATAATTATAGATGAAAGATGCTTATTTGGATTGGATTGCTATTTATTCATATATTTATTTTAGTAAGTGGTGAGGCAAGAACATAAAAATGCAGAGTTGAAAGACAGATTGGCCTGGATTGAATTGATAAGAAATGTGTGGAGCTTTTTGGCTTCTGATCAATATTTGTATTCAGTCTGCAATCTAAAGTATGTATAATAAAAAGAAAACAGGTGGGAGTAATATCTGATTGTAGTTTCTTCCCAGTGTATAGCCCAAATTAAAAGAAAAAGCATTAAGGACAGCAAATAACCTTAATCACCTGACACCAAAATGATTAATAAGACTTACTTAAGACAGACCTTACTAGATCATGGTCAACACGCCTCCAGAAACCTAACATTCTGCCATTACTAGGACCCTGGATTGCCCCTCTCATCAGCTAAGGCTCCATTGAGCTCTTAACGCACTTTGGTTTGGAGTCCAGTGAATTTACTGATGCAGTAAATTGTTAGCACACCGTGTGGGAGTTCCTAGGGTAACTTTGTAAAGAAGTCAGGAGTTTAGGTGGCTCCTAAACTGTCATTCAGACAGCTATTGAGTTAACATAGCTCATGACTCTTCAATAACTTTATGCTCCTTCTTTATGGCTCATAATTGTTATCATTTAAAGTTGCTTTGCTGTTTACAAAATGTTCTAATATAAGTACAGTGTGGACCTTGTTCTTTTGTAGCCTACTATGCTTCAAATTCATTTGATTTAATAAAAGACTCAGTTTTTTTTTTAAAGACTTTATTTATTTATTAGAGAAAGAGTCCGAGAGAGAGAGCGAGCATAAGCAGGGGGAGCTGCAGGCAGAGGGATAAGGAGAAGCAGACTCCCCGCTGAGCAGGGAGACTGATGTGGACTCCATCCCAGGACCCTGGGCTCATGACCTGAGCCAAAGGCAGATGGTTAACCAACTTAGCACCCAGTCGCCCCTTATTTAAGGGAGAGTAAGACTGCAAATAAAGTTCACCACTCAGCCTCCAGAGAAACTGAAAACCCAGAGCTTTGTTGTAACTAAAGAATTTTGCATCTTCGGCCCCAGAGTTTAGTGGACATGTTACAAAACACACACTTCAGCCTCTAATATCCTTGTTTTACACAAGAAGAGACATAAGAGTGTGCAGGAAAATGACAACTAAGTTCAAATACATTCTAGTAAAGAGAAACACTGACATAAATAAAGGGCCCTGGACCCAGCAGTGTACTTAAGCTTGCTATGCCTCATTTTTTTGTTTTTTGTTTTTTAAATTTTTTATTTTTTTATTAACATATAATGTATTATTAGCCCCAGGGGTACAGATCTATGAATCGCCAGGTTTACACACTTCATAGCACATACCTTTCCCAATGTCCATAACCCAACCACCCTCTCTACCCCGCCCACCCGCCACCCTGTTTGTTTTGTGAGATTAAGAGTCTCTTATGGTTTGTCTCCCTCCTGATCCCATCTTGTTTCATTTTTTCTTTTCCTACCCCCCAGAGTCCCCACGTTGCCTCTCAACTTCCTCATATCAGGCAGATCATATGATAATTGTCTTTCTCTGATTGACATTTCACTAACAATCCTGGTTGCCTTACCTTCCTCTTAGGATCATCCTAGAATATACATAGAAAGTCAGATGAAAGAACTTCAGTGGGGATTATTAATATTCTCCCCTAAAATGATTAACCTTTGAAATGTCAAGATGATGCTCTGAGAATAGAAATGGGGTAGGCCTATCCCGGAGAGGTTTTTCATGCTACAAATACACATAGAAACAGCTAGACCTGTGTTTTGCAGAACCTGGGCTGTTTGCAGCTGTGACTCTCTGACTTATGCCCTCTGCACACCAGCCCAACAATAACTGCTTTGCTGTTTTTATAGGATCCTGGATTTGAAAAATCTCTCAGAGATCATATCTCTTCCCCTGTCTGTGATGCATCAACTATCTTCTCCTGGTAGTTCACCAACTCACTGTCCCTTCTGTGAATAGGAGCTCTCTAACTAAGAGAGAATGTGTTCTAACCTTGGAGAACTCTGACCTGATAGTACCCAAACCTGCCTCTCTCTAGCAGATATAATAAGTT